GGAGGAAAAGTCGAAAGCCCGAATGAATATGGAAAAAGCGCCGTAGACTCCAACATGAATAACAGTGAGTGGAATTTTCGAAGTAAATGTTTTCTTGTTTTAACAGAATGACCGTTTTTTCTAGAAAAGGCATTTGAAAAGTCGCCCAATTACCTAATACAGAATATCGTATAACTAATAAAACTTTTTCAGGAGCCGAGCAGATTTCCGAAACTCTGTCTTCCCGTGGAGTCGACGTCAGAGACCCTTCAGCCTCAGAATCTCTTCTGAATTCGTCAGCAAATCTACTTTCACGCGCTAAACCTTTTTCCACACGGCCACGGTTTGCGACACGCTTCCGTCACAGTGAGTTTTCGACGTTTCTAGAAAGTTTAATCATAAACTGGAACACTTATGCGAATTTCCATGATGGCCTTCTTTTAAACCCCCTTTTTTTGAGTATTTCTTTTTCTTTCGATGTCATCGAAAAAAGCGGTCTGAAATCCATCTCAACATAAAGGAAATTCAAGAAAAATCAAGAATTTTCCCAAACAAACATTTTTCCAGACTCAAGATCGACGTCTGTTCCGGCCAATAATTTCCGGACTCCCAACGTCGATTTGAATGCTACTGTTCGCCCCATCGGCTCCCGGAACTTTTTCGGTGAGATCTTGGGATTTTATTCTCTTTGTGATTCTTTTTCGGAAACTCTGCCATATGAAGTGGATCTTTCTTTCAACCGAATTTTGCAGGAAACGATTCGGTTCTTGACGTAAGCGTCGGGGGCGCCAAGGCAGATTCGGATGGTCGACCTAAGTCTACTCAGAATGGTGACGCGCTGAATTCGCTGTTCAAGTCTTTCGCGCAAGGTTAGTCCGAAACAGCTTTCACAGTACCGTCCAATTTGAACATTCGTCTAGTCAGAAAAAAAAAAGCGGAATTTCATGATTTCACATTGTTCTTTCAGAACCGTCGTTTCACCCATCGATTCCTGGTCAGGGCAAATCGGCCGTTCCTGGTGCCAGAACTGCGATTGTTGCCACTAAAATAGGTACCGAAACAATTTTCCCACTTTCCCGATATTAGTTTTTGATGATTTTTTCTAATTCTCACAAATAAAACAACGGAAAATAGAACCTAACTGATGAAATTTCAGATTTGCACATGGTGCGTCAGCGGAAACGAAGGATACAAGGTTGGGCTTCTGATTATATTTGTCAAAAAAAGTGTCTTTTTCGAAGACTTTTGCATTTCACGTGAAACAACTCACTTGATTTTTCAGAACTTGAAGATCTCGCTATCCAGACGAAAAGGAAAAACCAAGAGCCGGCGGTTGCTGAGAAACCGTCACAAGTTGCAAATGGTTAGTTTTCAAAACTTCCGCGTATTTCGGTAGAGATACTTTGCACAAGAGATACCCTCTTTTTTGGAAATAAGTCCCAATCGACAGCAATGACATTTCATTGAAACTGAAGTATTCTTTTCCAGGAGTCGGTTACACAGAATCCTCTCAAGTAGAAGTTGTTCCTGTCTCCGTCTCTCAGTCTCTGGACTCTGTTGACCTGGATGTTACCCAAGTCAACACGTCGGAAGAGCCTTCCAGTCCACTCCGTAACGAGAACAGAGGTTTGAAGGCTTTTTAACTTTGAAAAGATTGCTGAGTCTTAGTATTGTTTAAATATACTTCATAAGAGTTATTTGTCATTTTTATCCTCTTTAGTAAGCTCATCAATAATTTTTTGGGAAAAAATCTAAATGAAGATTTTTTTCATCTTCAAATTCTGTTGAGCAATAAAACTGTTAGTAGAAACAGGGAATAACCAGAAAATTAAGCAGATTTTTATTTTTCAGGGTCCGCCGCATCTCCTTTCACGCCTTCACCAGATCTGATCACGGTTGTCGAAAGAGTTCCGCGTCCGACGACAGGTTTGTAACGGAAAAAAATATTCAAACTCTTCTCTCAACTTTTTTTGAGAACTTGCTGGAATTTATACCAGACCTAAATATGACTTTAAATAAAGAAAAAAACATTGAAACTCTTTGTGAAAAAAACGAACGTAAGAAAAATTGAGATTTTTGATGTAGAACTTCCCAGCTTTAAAAAAATAAAAACTGGTCATGGAACTGGAACAATTTGAAAATGATCATTTTTCTTCCAGGGTCCGCCGAGATCAGTCGCGAAGCTGAGGACAGTTTCCAGAACTTCACGGTCGGCAAGGAATTCGTCTCCCGTCGATCCGATCATCAGGGTCGAGGTCTGAACACAAAAAGCTTCGTTCAAAGAAAGACTGAAAAAAACAAAAAAACTTTATTGATCAAAAAATTTTTTTCGACGAAAGTTAGAGTAAGAAAAAAAGCCATAGAAATAACCTGAATTAGAAGTTCTCCTTGTCGTTTTCTTTGATGAGAACTATCACGATGCATTCCTTCCACTCAATAGAAAACAGTCTGTACATTTTCAGATGACTTCAACATTTCCTTCTCGGCAGTTTTGGCTCAAGACGACATTTCTGCGGAGACACCTCTCGCCTTGACCACAGGTATCCATTTGATTTTCTGTCAAGAGTACAATTTTTATTGGGTAAAACCGTTTCGAAATTGAAAAAAAATAAGAACTTAGAAGTTGATAATCTGTTAGAGAACTGCGAAAATGTAAAAAGTTATAAAACTGATGAAAATTTCATTCCAGGAGTTGCTGAAGATCACACGCCTGTAGGAACTCAGAAGGAAATGATTTTGGACGTGAACGGAAACATCACAAGACGATCGGCTCATCGGGACGCAGGTTTGATTTGAAACAATTTGTAAAATTTTCAAAGTTAGAAAGGCAAAAACGACCTTATCAGGAATCTTTTCATAAGTTTCAGAAAGGAAAACAGTTTAAAATGACATCTCCAGGAAGACAATTCTTAAATCGATTTTTCAGAATCTCTGACCGCGTCTGGCTTCAGTTTTTGCTGACTTTCTCTCCACTGAACCGACTGACCAGTCCGAAGTCCAAGAAGCCAATGAATTATCCGCAGAATCGGCCTCTCCTTCAGGTAGAAATTCAACTCTCAAGTTCAAAAAAAGATCTAGAAGATTCCGGAAATCATTCATTCAGCTAATTTTTGCAGCTTCGAACCCACCAGCCGACTACGTTCAGCGCCAGCGCGAGTTTCTACTCCAAAATCGGTACAACATCACTCGTGGTCGTGGTTAGTTTTTGCTCAAGAAATTTGTAGAGCGCAGGATTTCGAAAAATTAAGTTTCTCGAATAATTCAAAACTAATAATCATCGATTTAACAATCTTTCATGAAAAGGGTTCAGTGTGAAGTTTGTAGAATTTCCGAAAAAAATCCGAAGAAAAAAACGTTCCTTCGAACCACTGCTCAATAGATTCTCGATTATCGACACAAATTTGAAGTCTATTTTTCAATTTCCAACAGAATTTCAAATATTTTTGCTTTCCTAGTTACATTCAGTTTGAACTGGGATATTAAACAAGACAAAAATCGATAAATGAAACGGAGTTTTCAGGATTTGGCGAGCGCCTTGACAACACGACGGACGATGCTGAGATTGACGTCAGGGACCAGGAGAACCATGTTTCGAACAGTCAGAAGCAGGATTAACTCTTACTATTCTTATGTTTCTCCCCTCATTTACTTGTGATTTCTTGATGTTTTTCTCCGTTTACTTGTCTAAAATCCAATTCGTCAACGTCTTTTTCCATCAATTTGGATCTTTCGCCTTTCCACTCCGAAGTTTTTCCATTGCCAGCTTTTTTTGGATTTTTCCTTCCATTCAACTTTTTTGTCGTCTACATTATTGTCGTGCAACATTTTTTTCGTCTCAATAAAAAAACTCTCGTCTCCTCATGAATATTGGATTACACAAAAAAAGGAACAGAACATTATTTTTAAGGAAAATCGTAGAATTGTTCAAGATTTTCTTGACGGCAAAATGCTAAATTTCGAGCAAAAAAGGAAATTATTCTCTGGTTTCTTGGAAAAAAATTTGTGTGTTCGACAGTTTTTTATGCTACTTAATCACCCATAATACACAAACTGCATAATTTTCTGATTTCAGGGGGTGTGTATACGAGTCATATATTGCCCCACATTTTTTTCACTGAGGGATACTGCAAAAATAAAAATACATGGTGAGGAATAATTCTTGCGACAGAAGTTCGGAGCGCTCTTTCTTGCGGACCTGAGCCTATTTTATGTTCCAATCATTATTTTCACATTTATCAATCCTTCTTCTCTATCATTACGAAGCTTCGTCAAAAATTCCATTCATGTCCGAAATGGCGGCGGTCAAAAATGATACATACAAATGTATTTTTCGACGGAAGATTCAAAACTTTCAAGGATAAAACTCGTTTTCTACGGTACATCATTTTCAAGGAAAATCAAAGTATTGTTCAAGATTTTCTTGACGGCAAAATGCTAAATTTCGACCGAAAAAGGAAATTATTCTCAGGTTTCACGGAAAAAGATACCGTCTTGCAGTTTTCTTAGTGACTTTTTCATGCTGTTCCTCCAAAGAAACGATCGAAATCAGCCTAATTTTCCGCTTTTTTGATTCATCATCGCTTTTTCCGAAGTTTTTTCACTTCTTGTTCGCATTTGGAAGGAATCCCATAGTTCATGGCAGCCACCGACGGTACGAAAAGTTCAGTGTCCAACGACTTCCAAGAAAAACGACTGCATTTTGATGAAATATCTCTTTTGATTTCCGACAATTCTTTTTTATCGTTGTCGTTATGCAATGTTTCTTTCATTTGTAGTAACTCAAAACGCAACAAAAGAAAAATTTTACGATCCAACGATCTTGGCAAGAAAAAGACAAAATAGTTACGAAAGAAAAAGAAATTGGCACGCGGCCGGCGAAGGAATAGTACAGATCAGGGCCAAGTTCATTAATGAGTTGGACGCAAAAAGGTGAAAAAAGCCAAAAAATTTTGAGATGATGGAGCTCGAGAAGGATCGCCTGAAAAGCTTGAAATTTGGAGGAAATATTTGTGGAATTATACCTAATCCTTGGAATTTCCCGCCTCGGGATCGACGCTCTCTGCCGCCACAGGATCGGCCTAAAATGAATCATGAAGACGGATATTGGATAGAAATAGACTGGGCGTTTTGATGAAAAAGTTTTTTTTCTATTCTCATCTAGTTTCCCAGAAGATTTCGGATAAGAAACGACTACAGTGTTTGGAAACAAGGAGAAAAAACAAAGTTTTGCTTTTTTTTTTTATCACTTTTTCGACATGATCCACTTTGCCACGAACATTTTTCATTTTCGAAGAAATGAGCCTGAATCAGAACTGTTCTCTGAGCTCAGGTCATACTTTTCACACAGAAAAACTTTCATATTCGGTTTTTAGAAACGGATATCGAAGGAAATGAAACGACAGGTCTTCATCATTTCTTGAACTCCGAGAAGATTTGAATTATTTTTTTCGAAAAAAACATATAAATCTAAAAAAATACCTCCGCGGTGTCATTTTCGGCCACCGTCTCAGGTTCATTCGACGCTACGGGCGAAGGGAACGGAATCCGAACCGAGTGCAGATTGTCTTGAGAAGTCGGACTCATCCCTAGGAAGAAATATGAAATCTTGATATATGGTTTTTTTCTACAACTCGAAACATGCTTTTTCAAGCTTAGCAAGAAAAGCAAAAAGAGTTAAATGATTAGAATGCGAATAAAAACCAATAATTCAACAAAAAATGAAGAAGGCAGTTTCTTCTGTGATTTTCTTTCCTCTTCTCAAAATTTCTGAAATTTTGCATGGAATTCTTGATGTTGACTACCCATATGAACTTTTTGAATCGTCTTAATCCGACTATCTGCTGTAAGTTGAGAAGTTTCTATTCTGACGTGTCCTTCCTTTTTTATTAGAACAAAGGTTCAACGAAATCACGATTTAGAAGTAGTTTTAATTGAATTAAACTTCTTATTTCCTGCTTTTTCCTGCTGAACATTGTTTTATTTTTAGAATTAAAACAGTTGTTTTATCTCACAAAAATAATGCGCCTGTTCATGTATCTTCATTCAGAACAGCGGAACTATCTGAGAGGAAATTCTCACCGAAAGTCGGGTTCAAGGGAGAAGCTCGACGAGGTCCAGGAGAACGGAGTTCTGCGATATCGGTTCCGATTTCCTCTCGATTCTCTGAAAAGTTCATAAATAACAGGATTATTGGAGAACCCGTTTGAAGAAAAATTGAGAAGCTAAATGAAAGGCATAAAAAATCTGTAATATTTTTCAGAAGAAGACAATTTTTCTCTCAAAGTTTGAACACGACTGAACAACTAGGAGAAAGCAAAAACATCTTTTTTCGAAGGAGCTGAAAAATAAGAACTTTTATGTTGATGAATGAGAGAAAATCCAAAAGGGTGCTAAAACCAAAGAAGAAATTGGGTTGTTCAAATGTTGAGTATTTGGTCGAAGATCTTGTGAAAGATACTTTCATATGGAAACTATGGGAGACCTCGATTATGCATCACCGAGAAGTGAACCGGCTCCTGCGAAGAAAAGGCGGTAAACGTCGGCATTGGCTTGGGCAAGTTGGGATCTCGTGGGGGCTCTGAAAAGGTATTCATCAGCTTCAGAACTGAAATTCAAAACACTTGTTTTCGGAAACGGGAATCAATTTATAAAAATAGGTACATTTTACGGAAAATTCATTTTTGTTTTTAGAAAGCTAGCTTTTTGTTTTTCTTTGAAGTATATACTTATTCCGTCTGAAATATATCTTCAGTTGGATCTGAGCTTGACGAAAAAACGAGACAAACCGATGTTCCGATTGTGCAAGAGGTGGGAAACGATGTCGAGGCTCTCAATCGGAGTGAATGTCACCAATGGCGAGATCGGAGCGTCGTTGTCTAAAAGTTCGATTTCAAAAAATCTCTAGGTTTGGATCAATCCAAAAGGTTGTCAGTGAAATCTCAGAAGAGCTGATAATTAGAGTTCCTTTTCATTACAACCAAAATCGGTTTCAACAATGTTAAAAAAGCCCCGCTGCCAGAAATTTTCGAGAAAGGTGATTTTTTTTTCCGAAATTTCGAATGGAAACGCTAAAACTTCCGAGTAACATACCGGTTGTGATCGACAGGAGACTGGGCCTGCCGGCGCTTGAGACGTCGGCAGGTTCTCCAGCCAACCCATCACTTCCATGATCGACAGAGACGTGCCCGATGTGATCTGAATTGCAGAATCTTGGTAACAGAATGGAAATATGGGAAAAACCCGGCGAGACGTCGTTCTCAACGGTCAGATCACATGGAATCGGTTGAGATTGGTCGGCCGGCGTGGAGAGCAAGAGCGGCGACGTCGGAGTTCGAAAATCTGAAACTCGATTCTCGAAAATCTTTGTTTTTTGAAAGGCAGTGAGACGAACTAATAGGGAACAATCCGACTCTTTGATTGGATATTTCAGTTTTTGTTTAATTTTTTTATCCATTTCATTTATTTCGAATCATTTTCTCACAAAAAAATTGATATTTCTCTATCTTCAAACTACCGTTTCACACTATGAAAATGAAAAATAATCAAGAGCTTCTTAAAAGGAGAGGGTTGTTATTTTTCTAGAAAATAATCAATTTATGCGAGAGGCTTTTGTTATGAAACGCTGGATTTTTCAAATGACTCACAAGTCGAAACGAGCGAGGACACTTGGCTGGGCCAGCCGCTGCTCTGGGCAACGAACGACGGTGTGCCAGTCAAGTTGCTCACTTCTCCGTTGACTTCACTGATGTTCAATTCACGCTCTGAAATCCGCGAGTTCATTTAAACTTGAGAATTCGAAGTAATTTATCTCCTCGCGTGTCATTCAAAATACGTTTTGAACAGAACAAGATGAGTTTGAATCACACGATATTCGTTGAAAAATATTCATTTTTGCGCACCTGCTTTAGATTATGAGCAAGTTTTTTGAATAACCTACCAATTGAGATCGACGAGACTTGGGTCGGTCTGTCGCTTCTTTGAGTGACGTCATACGAAATTGCCGTCGAGCTGTTGATGGACGGTTCCGAGTTCGCGGCTCTCGACTCATTGCTCGTGAAGGAGACTTGCACAACGCTGATGTTCGTGTCTGAAACCCAAAAATCAATTTGGCTTTCATAGCTCAATGAAAATTCGTTTGAAGTGAACTCCAAAATTTTGCCAAAATATATTCTCTGAAATATTATTCATTTCGGGTAAAACTGACATCCGTAGGTTGGCGAAACCAATTCGGAAGTGTTTGAGGCTTGAGTTGGTGGCGCCTGCGTGGAGACTGCGCTCGGTTCTTCTGAAACTCAGTAATATGCATATTTGAAAGAAAAGTTCAGTCAAAAAAGACCATGATCTTTTTTCTCAAAGTTCTTCGTCGAAGTTTGTCAAATTGAATACAGAAGTGAAAGTTTAGAAAAAAACACTCATTCAGATTTTAGGAATCAGAAACTCTTTTTTTTTTATCTTTTTTTGGAAAAGAAACCAACGTATGCAAACTTTAGTTCAAACATTTCCGCGTAACTCACCAGCCGTGACGACCGACGAAGCAGAACTTCGTCTGCCGTCGTCTTGAGAAACGATGGCAGGTGAAACACCGTCGCCGATGGAGTTCATCGTCTCTGAAGACTTTGCGAATAAAATACAGGCCCAAAAGTTTGAGAATTCTTAAAAATTTGTTTCACGAAACATGGTAATCTTCAGAAGAACCTCATATTTGTAGTTCTATAGTCTTCAAAAGGACATATTTGCTGAATTTAGCTTTTTCCGCTTCATTAGAAAATTCGAATTTGACTGGCTAGCAAAAAACAGAATTGACCAGACTGCTGAATCGGATTTATAGCGGTTTTTGGCTTCTTAATGCAAATTTCTTTTTTATTTCTGTTTATTCACAAAAAAATTTTCAGACGCACCCATGACAGAAGCGCTCGAAAATTCTCCTGTAGATTCCGTCGACTCATGTCCATTTTCCACTGCAACAGGAGCCCAGCGGTACCGAACACCGTTTAGATAGATATATGGAGGAGGAGCCGAAGAATCTGGAATAAGTTTAGTTTTCAATGTTTCTTGTGCAAATATCTCACTGTCACTGCTCTCATTCGGCGCGATCCGGACGATAACATCGCCTTCGCGACGCGTCAAATCATGAGACTGGTTGGTGTGCTCTTCATTCTTCGACGACGGATCAAAACTTTTCGGTGCAACTGGAAAAAATTCTCTCAAACTTCACAAAGCTTGACAATTTCCGGCCAATTCACGAATGAGGAGATTTTTTTCCCAAGACACTCAACCCAGAAAAAGATGAAATGAAACGCCTACCAAACGGCGAAGTCGCTTTATCCACGAGCTTTTGACGTTTGGTTGCAGGTCCACTTGAATTCAAGCTTTCAGAGCTTCCCGCTTGCATGGCGACGTCTGAAACTTCCGTTTGCATACTCGAAAAATAAAAATTTTTTTCGATTCTTTCATTATTTTTGAATGAAGCTTTGCTGAGAAATCTATCAGACTTGAATAAATATTTACTGAATTGATCTAAACGGTCATCCAGCGAGAAGATTTCTCAAATAGTTTATTGAAGTTTGAACTCTTTGATTTTTACTGGAATCAAATCTCAATGTCTTTTCATTTAAAAACGTTGTAAAGCTTTCTTATTTTGAAACGGTGCTTTTGCTAAAAAATGGAGCTGGAAATTCTGAATCTTGCAGAGACTTACTGGCGATGGCGCTGCCAGAAACGGGCCTGCCGGCGAGAGAATCGACGGCAGGTTCCTCGGGCCCGTCCGCAGCAACGACAGCTTCGTTTTCCGGTTGCACTTCATCGACTGAATTCGGTAATTTATCAAAAGTAAGAGTTACATTTTTCAGCTAATGCCAGGAAAAAATAGATTGAATTGCAACAATTTAAAAAAAACAAGGAAATTTTGACGTGGTTAATCTAATTTTTGTATTGAATTAATGAGATCTGATTATGATGATTTACCAGCAGCTGATGGAGCAGCTTGCGGAGGACGAGGAGCGGCGGGACGAGGACCGGCAGGACGAGGCCCGGCAGGACGAGGACCGGCAGGACAAGGACCGGCAGGACGAGGACCGGCAGGACGAGGACCGGCAGGATGAGGACCGGCAGGATGAGGAGCCTGAGGACGAAGGCCTCCACGGCGTGAGTCCGCTGAAAACGACTCATTTGTAAAAATAAATTTTGAAGCTTTCATTATTAAAAAAAAGAGTGAAAATTACCTCGCTCCTGTTGCTCGCGGATGATAGCGGCTTCACGATCTGAAATATTTGGAATATTGATTATGTTCCAGATTTGAAATGAGAGTCATGAGTCCAGGTTGGAGGAAAAAACCCACTGAGTTGGGCCGCCGTCTTCTGTTGGAAACGTTTCGGGGAGCCTTCTGAGAAATTTTCTTTTTATTCAGCGCAATGAAGAAAAAATAACTTACGTTTTTTGGCCATTTTTCGTTGGGGGTTCCGAAGTTAGAACGAGCTGAAAATAAATAATTTTCAAAGCAATTAAATTCCTTTGAATGGCAAAAAAAGACTACAAAAAAACTAGAAAATTAGGAAAATTACGATCGTTTAGATTTTTTTCGATACATGTTTATAACAGATGAAATAAATTTTAGAATTTTAGAAAAACTTTTTACAAACTTTTTTTGTTTCAGAAAAAGAAAAAAAGAAGATGAAAAACGATGAGAAGCACCGAAACGAGTGACAAATAAAGTTAGAAGCAAAATAAATGCGACTTTCGAAAAAAAAACTGTCGTTCTCTCGCCTGAGAGACGCACCCCGCGAAAATTGGTAATATGAGCAAGTGCGACACAGACAAATGCGCGCTACAGTACGCTCTTCCAGCAAAAACTGGAGCTCCGAGGTCAAAAAAAGGCTTTTTAAACTCAATTTCGCCTATTATTACTGTTTTCTTAGAGCAAACAATTTCAAAGTCAAAAATATCGCGAAAATCGAGAAAACAAAAAACTTTTTGTTGCTCTCATAGGATAATCAAAAGGAAGACTAGAGTAATAGACCACGACTTGAAACATTTTCTAGACTCGGTTTTTTTTATATTTGCTTTTTGGTGCCATGTCACACTTGGCTCGCAGCTGTGACCCAAAAAAAGAGCCTTGGTGTGACTTTTTTCTTTTACAACTGATTGTAAATTAGAGAGTGTCCATAATGAAGGCTGAGATATGACCTCAACAGAAAAACGATCTTTGGACTCAAAAAAAGTAAAGATACATTAATTTCAAGCTGTAGTAACTTTTGGAGTTCAAATTATATGGTTTAGTTCAAAATTTCATATGACAATTATAGAAATGGATCTAGTGACAAGGCTTGAAGCTTCTCAATTCTATTTTGCAGAGCGCTTTGGAAAAGTGATTAATTGAGAAAAAAGAATCGAGAACTGAGAGCTTTTTTCACGATAAAAGTTAGATAAAAGTATATTTTGTATCTCTCGAGCAATGTTCAATGAAATAAGAACTGAAAGGCCTTCGCAATTCAATTTATGGCTGAAAACCATTTTGAAAAAAAGAAAATACGGATCGAATTCTACAGAGTTTGAAACTAAGCACAATTAAATAATTCAATTTTCTGCCTAATACTTGTGCTCGAGTTGAAAATAAAGAGAAAAAGTTGCAAACTTCAAAACAGAAAAAAAAAACAAAAAGGGCCTGTCAAGAAGTTGAACAGCACAGAAAAAGCTGAGAAACAACAGTCCGTCATGTCGGAAATCGGTCTTCCCCGTCCTGGAGAGGCAGGAAAGCCCAACTCGGACCGACCGCTCGGGACAGAGTTTCGACAACAGAATGAAGACCGTAAAGACACGCCTACATTTTTGGCTTGGTCACACTCTCCCGACACGCCCACTATCGCATGGAAAGGAGATTTTTGGATCGCTTTTATAACAAAAAAACAAATATTTCTACATTTCCAAGCCTTACTTTTGCCTGGATCGAAAAATTCGAAAAAAGGCAATAAGTTTGTAACAAAAGAAAGCCAATAAGATTTTTAAATAAAGAATTCTAAAAAGTCGAGAGATGTCATTGAGGTAAATTTTTCACGAAAAGGAAGGATATCACCTTACTTCGAAGTTTTCTTCATGAAAATATCAAAAATGAAAGAGAATATAAGAAAAGATTTCGAAATTTTAGAGTTTTCAATAAAACGAGTTCAAGAAAGATGAGAAACAGTCGTTTCAATAGTTCGAAGTCTTTGAAATAGACCTTAAAACAACTAAGAATCCAATGAATGAGTTTAGTAAAATAGTTGGAAATTCTTAGATCTTTTTTTGTAACGCGTTCACGCTTCCTTGTGATAACTTTTGAGTATTAGAAATGAATTTTGATACGAACTCCTACTTAGTCATGTTAAATTATCATAATACCTACGGAATCAAGAAGAAATTTCACATATAAAAATCAAAAATCTATACAGCTTATATAACCGAAGATGATCCAAAAAGTTACGTACAAATTTTGAAGCTTTCTTTTGAACAAAATCGATAGTTTTACAAAAATGAAAGACCTATTAAAAAAACCAATCTTCTAGAAATGGAAAGATAATTTTACTGCAAAGGGCCAAAGAAGCATGTTTTCCTTGTTTTTCCAAATTCTCAAAAAAAGACGGTCGAAAGAAAGACTTAAAGTTTGAAACATCTTCTAGACTCGTTTTTGTCTTTTAGTTGCTCTTTGGTGCCATGTCACACTTGGCTCGCAGCTGTGACCCAAAAAAAGAGCCTTGGTGTGACTTTTTTCTTTTACAACTGATTGTAAATTAGAGAGAGTCCATAATGAAGGCTGAGATATGACCTCAACAGAAAAGACGATCTTTGGACTTGCAAGAATCAAAAGATCGAGTTACTGTATTTATTTGAAATAGGATTGTCAATCAAGATAAAACTTTTGTTGAGAAAAGCTGTTTCTTGTAAAAGTATATGGAAATTTTCGTTTTTAAACAAAAAGTTGAAAATACTGATAATCGTAGCTGCAGTGTACTGATGTAATCTATTTATCAAAGAGTTTTTGAAAGAAAACTGATACACAAAACAATATAATTTTTATGATTCTTAATTTCAGTTGAAAAACTTCCGCGTACAATTCCAAGGAGCATTGCTCACTGGTCGCTCAAAAATAGAAAAGAGTTTCAAAACTTTGGCTTATTCGTCTACACAGTTTCCGAGTTCCTATATCTATTCTACACCAGAGTTTGTTCACTTGTGCCTGCTGAGTTGTTTAACTCTCTCTTAGTCGCGGCACACGGCGCGTCCTATAAAAGCTGGAGAGTTTGCTGATCCAGTTTGGGACCAATTGTGGCTGAGATTGCATTTTCTC